ATTAACCTTCGGGATGGCATAGCTTCCCTCCTGTCTTCTACTTACGTATGCATTGTCTCTTAACTTAAGCCCCGCTGATCAGTACCGTCTCATTCTTCGGCTAGCCTGGGCCACGACCGGACTTTATATACCCCGTGACAAGTTCAATCCCTCTCGCGTTCTGGCCCCTGAGGTGCTACCACGCTGTCTCTCCGTCCGTGTTGGTCGTCGCAATGTCACCCTTCCCGATCCCATCTTTCATGGTGGCAATGCGCAGAAATTTGGTCATCGTCTACGCTTCGCCATTGACATCACTAACAAGGTTGCTTTTTTACTTTTCCTTTCTCTGCACTGCATGTCCTGATTTGGTTAGGTTAAACGTTCAAAAGGGAAAATAAGAGGGCTCAGTGGCCGGGGAGCTGGCTGTAGTCTCACGCGACTGCATTATTAGGGAATGCAAATTTAGCCAAAATTTGACAGGACTGACTTCAGAGACCCCAAAAATCCTGTCGACTTATAACAAAAAAAACTACTTTTAAATTTTTAGTAGCCTGACTTTCCATTTGTTCGCTAAATTTCACCAATAGGAGGTCGACTTTCCATTTTCATTAAATCCCGTCTACATAAAATCGAATTTCCGTCAATTGGCATCCGTGTCTAACGCAACAGGAGTTCATTTTGATGAAATTTATTCTATTTTAGTATATTAAAACAAATAATCTTATTCAATTTAATATTTTTTGATCACTTCGTCCAAAATTACCTATTCATTTACCCTCAATAGCCAAGATTTAAATGTTTGACCAAAAATACGCTAAGCAGTTGGGCGGGGGAATAGATATCTAGAGGGGCCCTACAAGTCAGTTTTGCCCAACATTTATATTTGCCGAGTTGATTCAGTTCAGTTAGTTGCTGAGTGGACCTCTAGACGGACGTCTACGCGGTATCCTCTCCTTCTCATTGCCCGCATACACACTGGACCAACAGCTGATTCGACTCGACCAACTACGAATAAATACGGCAGACCAGGTATATTTCCACTCTGCGGCAATGGACTGTAATAGCACTTTGATAAGTCAGGCAGATGGCCCTATGTTTGGCTAATTGAATTCTTTCATCCCGAATTGAGTGCTGGGACACGGATATTCACCTATTCTGGTCGCTGTATGCAGGTTAAGTTAGCGAACTCAAATTCGAAAATGTCAGAAATCCGGGATATGAATTATAAGTCATCTTCGGCTCACCGGAAAAAATTTGGAGATTTGCCGACGTTTGGGACAGCTGTCCTTTGTCAAAGCGAATACAGACTGTTGTCGATCAGCAACTTTACAATTGCGGCTGTAAGTGTTGGCCTTGGGCTGATCGATTTTCCTCCGTTCGCT